TTTAAAAAAAAAGAAAAAAGAAAAAAAAAACGAAGATAAACTAAAAAAAAAAAAAAAAAAAAAAAAAAAAAAAATTATTGGCATCTGAAAGTGCTCCGTACAGTCAAACAAACTTAACAACAAAGTCCTATGTCACGCGTCACTCACAAATAGTAATTCTCTAGGTATTTTGGTATGGCTGTAACGATGTGTACAATAGGCGCGCACAATAAAACTCCCCGAAGTTGGCATTAAAAGCGAATTACACGAATGCGCATATTAATGTCCTTTTACCTCAGTAAGTGTGAATTTCACCCACTGTTCAGCGGTTCAATTCTAGTAACAAAATGAAAATTTGAAGACAGACTTTACGTTTGATGTGGGGAGTGCAGACGTCACTCCCCCAAGAAAATACTACTAGCATTATTACATTAGTGTAAGTAACAATTCTTTTCTTTTGTATCTATGGAAGCTAAAGAACAAGGAAAACGGGAATTTCGGAGAAATTCGGCGAAAATTTACCGGAGGCTACAATGTCTTGGGTATTAAAGACACGTTTGAAATCAACTGTAAGTATCATAGTCATAGTATCATAGTTATAGTATCATAGTCATAATATCCTAGTCATAGTATCATAGTCATAGTGTATTAGTCATAGTATCATATCATAGTATTATTGTTATGTAAGGACACTTTTCCCCGTGCGTGAACTTTGCTTGACCCCAAATTAGATTCCTAGCACAAGCTACGTTCATAGATGGGCGTGGCCTAGTCCTTTGATCCATCGTGTTTACTGACGACTATCAATTTAAAATGATTAGTTTGTCTCCTAGTATCGTATGGAACGTTCTCGATTTGACGAGAAACGTAAACAATGTCAAAGGCGTTTCTGGACGCGTCGGTAGACCCACTATATAAATTCGGGCTTTCAGAGATTCACGGAGATTCAGATAGATTGATAGATATTTTTAACTTCACGAGACGTGAATTATTCTTTGTGTACTCATATCTGTTTATTCGCATTCATCATTCATCTTTATTAATTGGCACATTGTACTAATTGTGTACCGGTACAAGATCTACCATACTCTGTAAGTTGATGATTGTAATTATATTTTCTTTTGTTTTCTAATTACATTAAGACTTAAATAAATCTTATTCATTGTAATTAGTACTGTTTTGGGTGTCGTATTTTTGCACTTGTATTTCTCTGTGGTATCGCCCCTTTGTTAGGCACTGTTTACAACAAGCCAATAACTTAAGCTAAGAGATTAATTTTTCACAATAGAAGCCAGTGCGTAACAATCAGAGTCACCGTATCATAGTAAAAGTATCATAGTTAGAGTTTCATAGTCATAGTATCATAGTCATAGTAGCACAGTCATAGTATATTAGGCATAGTATCCGAGTCACAGTATTATAGTAATAGTATCATAGTCGTTGTATCATTATCATGGTATCATAGTCATAGTATCATATTCACATTATTATAGTCACATTATCATAGTAATAGTAGCATAGTTAGAATATCATAGTCACATTATCATAGTAATAGTATCATAGTTAGAGTATCATAGTCACACTATCATAGTAATAGTATCATAGTTAGAGTATCATAGTTAGAGTATCATAGTCATATTATCATAGTAATGGCATCATAGCCATAGTATCATAGTCATAGTATCATAGTCATAGTATCATAGTCATAGTATCATATTCGCAATATCATATTTTACAAAATCACAGTCATAGTATCATATTCATAGTATCATAAGCATAGTATGATGGTCACAATAACATAGTCATAATGTCTCAGTCATAGTATCATATTCATAGTATTATATTCATAGTATAACAGTCATAATGTCATCGTAATAGTATCATAGTCATAGTATCATATTCGCAATATCATATTCACAAAATCATAGTCATAGTACCATGGTCATAGTATCATAGAAATGGCATCATAGCCATAGTATCATAGTCATAGTATCATATTCGCAATATAATATTCACAAAATCACAGTCATAGTATCATAGTCATAGTATCATAAGCATAGTATGATGGTCACAATAACATAGTCATAATGTCTTAGTCATAGTATCATATTCATAGTATTATAGTCATAGTATAACAGTCACAATGTCATCGTAATAGTATCATAGTCATAGTGTCATATTCGCAAAATCATAGTCATAGTATCATAGACTACAGCTGTATTACGCAATAGTACGGCATATTCCGCTGTGCTACAGTTATATATTTTAATATAACCCATCGTCTTGTCTATATTTTTTATTACAGTTCCTGCTGACATGGATCCAAAGATTAAAGCATTGACTATTGCCGCTGCTATTTTATTCGTAAGTACCGCACAGCTACTTGTACGTTACTTAGAGAGGGACCTGTCATCCATCGCCTTCATTTGGTTATCTGTTATACTTAATCGTCTTCTTTAAGAGTAGTTCTACTTATGGCGTCCCGTAGATATCAATGGATACAAACGGGGGGAGGGGGGGGTAATTTCTTTTTCTTTTGAATCAATTTATTAATTTGAATTTTAATCAACGTCTTTGGTGATTTTTAATGAACTTCGTGTGAGTCAGTAATTTGTACATGGCAAGGCCCAGTTTACGGTGTGATTATTGCATCCATTAGGTGAGGGACGGGGCAGCGTGTCGTCTGCTCATCTTACCAGGGTTGTTAGGGTGGGACGATGTGGTCTCAAGAAGCGATTGCTTGAAAGGCTCTATGCTTGTGCCCCTCGGGGC